GTTGGACTCGCATATTATTAAGGAGCTCATACCACCAGTTGGACATAGAGTAAATTTTATTAAAAATTTAAACAATTGGAAGACCTTGATGGATTCTGAGAACGACAATCAATCCAAACAATCACAAGTAAGAATTTGATTTACATACTTTTAATTATATATAGGGCTTTTGCCCGCAACTTCGTCCGCGTGGCTTTCGTAGCCTATGTGTTGACCCAACCTCATAGTAATATTCATGCAAAATTTTAAGTAATTCCATGCAGTTCTTTTTGAGTTTAGCCCGAACATACAAACAGACAGACAAAAATTCTAAAAACTATATTTTTGGCTTCGATATCGATTGTAGATCACACCTCAAGTATTCTTTTTACAAAATATTCAATGTACAGTTTTGACTGTCCTACGATTTTATTATATATATATAGATATTTGCTACCATTTCCCACTTCAGGAACATTAGGCATTAATCTGTCGGTGCCAAGTTCATGAATCATATTATATTTTCAGAAAATATTCATAAAGACCTTGAGTGGCTTAGAAAATCCAGCGAGCCTTGGAAAACAGTTGAAGAGAAAAGGAAAAATACATTCAAGATTAGACTTGAAGAGACTAAAAATATAACAGTATCTGACTACATGAATGAGTACCCTGTTTTAAAAAAGCCGACAGGGTATCAGCTACTTCTAATTGATTCTACGTTTTAATTAATAAAAGTGTTGATTCTTATTATTGTTTGTTATTCTTTTATTGGCATTTTCTGCGGGAACTGTCGTGTATCGACGTGATTGCTTAAAGTTCAGAGCTTTTATTTCTCGGAAAACTTAATGAATCTTGAGAAATAAAAGCATATTTTAAGCAATCACGTCTTTACCGACAGTTCCGGTGGAATAAGCCAACTACTTTTTCTGGTCCATTTACAAAATACGAAGTTACCTACACAATACTCTATTGTTGTCATTACAAGTCATTTTGTAATGTGAACGTATCATTCTGTTCCATTTATAATACAATATTTGTCAGAGGTACACAACAAATCGTATTAGTAATTTTTTTGTAGTAAATTAAACGATGACATTCAGTAAATTTAATTAAACGTTTGTATGTTATTTACAAAACTTTTGATTAACAACACAAACTTTCTTGTTGGTAGGACAAAAAAGGATTGTAGACCTGAAAATTTAAATAGTAAAATTAACAATAACAATGTGACAACAACAATTTATGTTTAACTAGAATCATTGTGTAACGCTTACGATACGAGTGGTCGTCACATATAGAGCAATAAATATTGTAATGGTAACCAGAATATTGTTACACATACCAGAATAATTTTTCCGTGTAGGTTAATATGTCTATTGATTTTTTTAAATAATCCTGTGTGGTATCGAGAATGCAAAATTTATCAAATGTAACATTCATTATTTGCAAACAGAAATAAAAGGGAGAATTCTTAAAGAGAGTCCCATAAGAACTTCATGAGCATTTAACCAGTAGTTTCTTTGTAAAACTATGCCATTAGTAAGTTGGTTGTTTGCAAATATGAAGGACATCAGATCCATGTCTGAATTCTAATTCTTATTCGAAGAAGCTTCTTGAATTAGTTCACCGCCTGTGTAGTTCTTAAGAATTATTTTTCGAACTCATCTATGGTTGATTTCAGTAAAAAAAACCGATTATATTATATAACGCAAATGCTTTAATTGAGCACTCTAGACTACATAGTAAGTGCGTCACGATATAAAGCTATATACGTCAGGCTATTTTAAACATTAAATAATTTAGGCTAGAATACATAATCACCTTATTATAAAAATACAAGAAGAAAACGTCAAATTGAAACGTGATAACTTATTTTGATTGGATAATTCATCGTTTTATAATGAGTATAATATTTGTATAACCTGATGTACCATTGTGTGTACTATTAGTATCAATATTCAAATTACATAGAGATTTTCAACGCAAAAACTAGCTACAAGAATTCATAGGGATTTTATGTTATCGCTCTTTAAAAATACGAATAAATGAAATAACTGTGTAGGTTATACATACATTATTCTAAAACTGATCACCGTCATAGATAAAACACATTCAGCTGTGTTTGTTATCAATAAACAGCATATTGTCCGTTATCAGTGGGCAAAAGCCAAGGGATTGCTATCATTACGTTTACTTACTAAACTGTTGTATAGTAACTCACTAGTGATCTTTTATATCCAGTTTTACTTTCGCCAGTAAAAACGGATTTCCTTGATGTTCCATTCAGTAATTATGTATCAGATTATTATTTATAATTAGTTATAACCTATGTCAGCCACGTATGATGTAGCTCCCAATAGGTGAACGAATTTTCATGATCGAAACCATAAAGAAACAAAGTAACATCTATTATACTATTATAGATATAAAACCGGGTGGTTCGCACATCAGTTTCAAGATGTTGCCATTTCCGAGGTTCCGATATCGATTCCTGATCAATGTAGAAAACTAATGGCCGGTTTCTGAATAGTACCACTTTCGTATAACCAGGGGTAATGGGAAGAGTACCGCTTTACTGTGGAGATTCCACAAGCTCGCACCAAGCGATTCGCCTCTACATTCATCGTGCGAACTGCGAAGCTGTGGAATTCGCTACCGGACTCGCTGTTTCCGGACAAATACAATCTGGGACTTTTCAAGTCAAGAGTGAATCGGTTCCATCTAGGCAAGCACGCTCCATCTTAGACCACTGCATTGCTTACCATCAGTTGATCTGTGGTCAAGTGCTTGCCTATCTAGAATAATAAAAAATAAAGAATAGTGCAAAATCTCAACTGATTATCAATAAGTTTTTTACATTTCATAAGTCAAAAACATCAACTGATCTTTAAAATACAAAATCAGAAACCAAAACCTGTCTGAGAGACGTTTAAGTACAATTTGAGACGTTCTTAATTTTATATTCTTAATTTAGAAACCGGGTTTTACTTTATAATATTGTTATTTTGGGATCTCAGCAATATACGTGTATGTTTTTATTTATATAAGTACATATATAATAACATTAAAAGCTGGAGTTGACCTCCGTAGAGTAGTTTCAGAACAATGTTTTTTACAAAACATGTTGGAATCATTTTTATATTAAATATATTTCCATATTTATTTGTATATCTTTCGTTATGGAAAACTCCAGGTTACAAACAATATTGATAATTTATTTCGCAGTTAGGTATAGTTTTAATTCTTATAGAATTAACGCATATTTGAATCAATATGCCGTTTAATGTTTAAAAATATTTCCTGTTTTAAAGACTAATGTAATAGGAATTTTAAATAGCGCGTTATTAAATTGTCCATTAAATTGATTTCCATTTGTTAATGAAAGTACCAGCTCCGTAGTTGCAGAATATTTATATTAATAATTATTTACGTCATTGGCTGTTAAACATACGATAATTTGACCTATTGTTGACTGTACAATCGGCAACTATACGTGACGTGGTGGTTGGTAATAAAACTCCGAAGAGGCGAAACATGTGTAGTGGTGATGTTGCCGTTTGTACACGTAAATTTGTGTTTGGGCGGAACACAGCAGATCTTGTAGATACTGACTGAACGTGGAAGTTGCTATTAGACTTCCTGATTCTGTTAAATATTTTCATAGTTTTAGACATTATATTCTCCCTATTCGATTTAAGTGGATTCCTTCCATAGGGAAGGCCTGAGCCCCAGTAGTGGGAACATCAATAGGTGACGATAACAATGAAAACAACATTAAATGTATTGCTCAGATATCAAATTAAGTACTTGAAACACTTGAATTATGGAAATTTGGAACATCGAATGTATCTCAACACCCAGAACAGAGACAATATTAAAAAGCTCGTTTTCTACATTACTCCGACCAAGAATAGGACCTAGTACCTTAGACGGAGACACTTTAAAACCAGCGTGTGAACCTCTCGACTACGAAGGTCGTAGAAAATATATACTATGAATATTTATTGATATATGTATATTTATCCGTTAAGATAGTTTAAGCATAGAAATAACTTTTGTCTTATAAAAGTTTTGTAAGTGTCTATAGTCTATATTAATAGTTTATCTGATAATCCTTGTTCTGTGTAAAGATAACAACAAAACCTTAATTACAGTTTCGAATGTAATTTTAGTTATTAAAGAGAATTGCTAATATATACAGAAAATCGTATGACATTCCGCGCCTGGAACTCCATTGTTAAATCTCTAAGCTCTTTTAAGGTTAATTCCTATTGATTTAAAGACAGCATGGTAATATTTTGTGAATCTATAGATGATGCGTGTGTATACTCTTTTCTTCCTAAAATCTGTTTTAAAATGTTTTTAAGATTATTTTTATTAAAAAAAAAGATGAGAACTTTGAAAACGGTTTTAAAACTTGTTTTACAGACTTTTCAATTTTAACTAAAAAAAAAATTAAATAACACGCTCCAAAAACATTATTAACAGCCACATTACTAATTATAATATAGAGAGTGTATAAGAATAAGAAGTTTGATGGAACAGAAAATAAACTCAAACCTCATGAACATAATTTTGCTGACGAAAGAATTTGACAAATTGTAATTTAATTATTAGATTATTGGATCTCTTACGTAAAAGTGAAAGTTGTGTGAAACGAATAAATGGAGGACTCATTAATAAACCAAAGAATTATATATTGAATATTAGACAAGAATTCAAATTGAGGCATCAAAAATCAACAAATTTAATAATTGTATTCTTTAGATGTTAATAATTGTAGAAACTTTATTGACCATTGTTGTATTTTATTGTAATAAACTATTGGTAAAATTATGTGCTGTACGTTCCTCATGGCGTAATAATAAATATTCAATTAAAACCAAAATAACATAGTCTTATGAATATGTTTATAGTAACCAGATATTAGATAGGCTTTAAATAGTAATTGCGTAGATATATTTTTGTTTATGTTATGTCAGGTAATTTGTGAAGGTAAAAATAAAATTCCATATTAATTTGTAACTTAAACCATGACTTTTTAATACATTTTTTGTTTTTCCTATATTACATTTCGTTTTGTACAAAAAACAACGTATCGACATAGTATACAACTTGTTTCAAGTTTTAATTCGACCTCGTGCAAAATCACAGAGTATAAAAATTAATAACTAAGCATAATATCAAAAATTACGTATATATTACGAGATCGTGACTTCATGGGAGACATTATTTGGAAAAATCGAATGAACACTCCAACAATAATTGGATAAATTGGCTTCAACATCTAATATTCTAATGCAGAAAGCAGATCACCAAATTTATATTTAGAAATTATAAAACAATCGTAACTTATTCCTATTACAAAATTAACAAAATCAAACAATTTTCGGAACTAAGAATAGTACTACTTTTTTCATATTTGTGACAGTTTTCCCTACATATTCAATAATCATGTAAAGTTTCCAAAAACCCATAAATATCAAAGTAAAAATATAATGTTGTCGTGTCTTTAGACCCGACAAAAACCATAGAATGATTTTTGGCTATACCGATGACGCAGACAAAAAGATTTAATAGTTATAGATATAATTTCTGGCTTATTTTAATGTTCTTCATTCCATAATCATATTATTTTACATGAATCCCGAAACTTTGAGCAGTTATCTTGTGGTACTTTTAGGAAATTTTATCATAAACGTTAACACTTTTTTTCTCTTATAATATGTCATATTCATTTGTAAATGATAAAGCTATTTTTATGATTTTAAATTGTACGTCATGAATTTTCGCTATTCGATAAGAGTTTTTTGACAATTACACGACGATCGGAAGACATTAAAATAAAACGAAATTCGATAGTATTAGTTGAATAACTTTCTTCAATATTATATCCAAGTTTTAAACCATAGAATAATGTCAAGGTATTTCTCATAATTTATTAAAGAAAATGTATATAACACGTTATAAATGAGTCGAATAAATCAACGTCTCAACCCTGCGTCACTATTATTCCTAACAAAAATCTTTAGTCGTTTAATATTTATCCTTAATTTCTTTTTATTGTTTTATTCAAATATTGGAAGAACTGTCTTTCCTATTTCTATTATATCCTAAAAGTATCAGAATCTTTAAAACAATTAAATCCTCATCTTGTTGTTAGAAAGGTTTTAAAGTCAGTGGAACGATATTATTATGGTGATAAAACTTGTTGTTATATTTTTTTGTGAAGTAACACAATGTTGGTTATAATCCTTGATCAGTTCAGAGAAAAAAAAATAAAGCACGCATTACAGTTAGGAATGTTATTTTAGTTACAAAGGAAGATTTTCCGTATTACAGCAAATCGTTTGACATTCAGTCCCTGGAACTCCATTGTTAGTATCTCTATTGTTTTAAAAAGACCCAATGGTATATGACTACAGTTCGTGGAACCATAGATAATGCGTGGGAATACTTCCACGTGTGATTTTTTTTGTAAATGAATATTATTTTTCTTTGGGAAACGATTTAGAACTGCGTTTGATACTGTGGTCAGTCAATTTTTATTAAAACCTCAACCCTAAGCTTAAATTACATGCTCCCAAAATATTAACGACAATCAACAATTGAATATCCTAATTATAACAAATTTTTTAGTTCCTTATTAATGCGCAAGGTCGAATTAAAACGCTTAATTTGAAGAATGGCTAAATATCTATCTAATGGAGCAACTATATTGAAACATCAGACCTTTTTCAATTAGTAATGGATAAATTTTATTTGGTAAGTGAAAAAAGTAATACATTTCTAACATAAAAGAGGTCTGGCTCAATATAACGACTAGGTGTTGGGGCAACTTTCTTAAACACAACCGAAACGATTCAAAATCAGCTCAAACTTAATGCAACAAACATCATAAAACAAATATCGAAACAGAAACAAAAGAAAGCGACCCCACTCCCCAACAATTAATTGGATAATATCGTTAAAATTGGTTAATTCTTTATCCACTGTCCAGAGCATACAACCTTGGTGGCTCCTTCACTTTATAATGGCCGCTCACTCACACACAGATCTCACGCACGGATTCGAGTTAGCGCGTGTGTGGTCACCGTACATGCCACAAGCCGAGGTTAAGTACACTAAGTCGAGGCAACTTCACGATGTGGTCCAGGCCCTGAGGCGTTATACACGTACAACCGTACAAGTCTATAGCCCTTAAATTTAGCAATCCATCTCCTAATGCGCGTAGCCCCCTGTCTGTGACCCGTGTGCACTGTCCTATATTGAGAGTTTCTAGCTGCGATAACCTCGCGACCCTCTCTAGGCCCTCATCGGTCAACCGACAAGCGCTCAGAGATAAAGAACGCAGGCCTGATAGCCCTAACGTAGCATGAGATAACGCTTCGTCCCCAACTTTATCACAAAATGAAACATCCAAAGCCCGTAATCTACCACTCTCCGCTAAGTGGGCCACTCCGGCATCAGACACTCCATCACACGCTCTCAAATTTATATCTTCTAAATGCGGTAGTCTAGCCAGGTGTCTTAATCCAGCGTCGGTGACGGCTACACAGAATGATAAGTTTATAGATTTAAGATTAGGGAGACCTGTTGCTACATGTTTGAGTGCTTCATCGGTTAGCCTCTGACAATCCTGCAGGCCCAAATGTTCTAAATCCGGTGTACCTCTAGCTTCTCCGCCTCCGCATAGATGGGCTATACCTGCGTCGTTCACGTGCCAACAAGACCTCAGGTTCAATCGACGCAACTTTCTCAAGCCCCATGCTATTAACAATAACCCTGTGTCGGTTATATTACAACAACCACCCAATTCCAATTCTTCTAAGTTTTTTAACGATTGCGCTATCCTTCCTAGAGACGAATCCGTCACTTGTTTACAAAGGGATAAGTCTAGTCTTTTTAAAGCAGGCAATTCCGACGCAAACGCACTAGCTAAAGCTGCATCTGTCACGCTGTAGCACCCACTCAACGATAAGGATTCTAATCCTGGAAGAGCTGCAACAGCATCTCTCAAACCTCGTCTTAAAGATAACACTTGTAATTTTCTTATTCCCCTTCTAGCGAGCGATGCAAATAATATAGGTGCTGGTCTTCTCAGATGCAAAGCTGCTTCGACTCCTCGCCAAACGGATCGTCGATCGGCCGCATCTTTCCAAGCGCGGCAAACTTGAGCCGCGCGACCTCTGTCTCTTACTGGAAGCCTTTCAAAGATGAGCGCGAGCAACTCCGGATACAATCTCGAAATGTGTGTTCCTTGCGGCTCTGGTACCGGTTCGGGCACGTGCAAATGCGGTCGGTGCAATCTGTATGGAGCACTACGTTGCTTTCTTCTGTTGGTGGGCAGCTCCGTTAGACTGAGCCGTTCGTCGCGCCAAGAAAGCGCATCCTCCGTCCACGCACTCATAGCGTCACTGCACAGTGTGTACACATCGGAACGATCGCGAGCGCGGTGTGCGTACGTCCACCGCCACGGCTAGAAGACAACTGGCGGGTGGGCGCGCGGGGTGCCGCTACCGGCGCGCGGCTATTGGTCGCGGGCGGCAGCACGTGACGCGCGTCGTATCGATTCGGAGGTTCTGCGGCGGCATTTTTAAGTTGGCGGACTGAGAACACGCCTTCCCCGCGCGGCCCTCTCGCTCGCGATATAGATTATGTAACGGATAGAGCAGCGTCTGCACTGCTGACGTTCTGCCTATGAAAGTTAACGAAATATATTTCATGATTAAATACTTTAATTAACATACTTATAACATTTAAATGTTTTGTACTATAAAACACATATAATTAATATTTAAAATTCCAACTTTTAGTAAGTTAAGATTAAACCAAATATTAAATCAATTTAATAGATATAATAGGAATAAAAAATAACAAAGTTTTAGTATACTTCAACTATATTCGGTATAAAGTTGTCGACTTTTAAGTTTTATAAGTAATATTTAATTTTTTGGCGAGCATTTATATTATTATAATATACCAATCACAAAAAAAGGAAGTAAGTGTATGGGAACTCTTCTTACATTGCCAATATTTTCTAAAAATATCATCATTGATTTTGGCTTATACAAATATTCATACTACGAAACATCATCAGACCTCTATGTAAGGGAAAATCAAATAGGGAGAACTGGCCATAATCTAACACACAAAACTGGTACGAATCTTATAGACGTTAACGACTGTAGATTGAAACACAAGCAGGTGTTCAAGATAATATTTTTAGGTTCTTACGCTGACACGGCGCCATCGAGGTTTCCTCTACCAAATAATGATTAAAATAACAAAAGCTCTCAGCGCATAAGAATAATAGGCTTTCCGGATTTCTGGGTTTATCTGTATACTCATTGACTTGAGTGATAAGGCGGCAAAACAACTCAGCGTCGCGCCGTATATTTTCGTTCACTGCACTTGCCGCGGAGTTACGACCAGTTTAGTAAAGTCCCTGTCACCTCTCCAATCAGTCCGTGTGCCATTGAAATAAGGAATGCAAAGTTCTATAACACGGACCAAGTATCTTTGGCCCTTTGATAACACCGGCCAACTATTACAAGGGCAACCGGTCGGAGCGTTCCAAATACAAAATTCGAATTGAAATGCGTTCCAAAATGGAACGGTCGCCGCCGCTGGTCGCTTGGTACTCGGTTTGGACCCGTTTAGGGCGCGATATGTAACTAGTTCGGTTGGATACCTACGACTAGAAAAACTAGGACTAGTATATATAGTACATATCTTTTTTCTTGTTATTAAGAAAATCACACTGCAATGAAAGACTCTGTAACAAGAGTTACAAGCGAGTTAGTCATAGATTCTTACAAATTCTCTATTTTATTGTTTTTATTCATATCTAGTAATTCGTAAATATTTGATTTTGACGGGTTAAATAATTGTAAGTAATTTCACTAAATTTTTATTTGCAGCAAAGCAAAATTAAAAGACAATTATTTAAAATATGAATGGCAAGTTCTACTTTTTGTTTTATGCTATATTTTATGGTTTTATTATTTAGATCCATTCTGTGTTCTGCACATTAATTTACATAAATAGATATACCTGCTTTTTTAAAAGCGTAAAATTAGTTCTAAAAGAATTAGAAATGAAAGTGACTTAAATAAAATAACAAAAGCTTTTAACATATAATTAAACACAAGCATTAAAACATAAAATAAAACAAAAATAGAAAAATATAGAGATATTTCATTTTACATTAACGAAAAAAAAATGAATCACCACATCTTTCTCAGTTATAAAGTACGAGTAACATGAATAAAAAAAAGTATGTATACTTTCCTAGAATCAATTTCGGCTTACATAATTTTGAACAAGGAGAATCCTGATTCACAACTACCAAGAATCGAATCCATTATAGTTCGCTACGATACCATTTAATACCAACGCTCTCCATTAGAGTGTAGATAGAGCAGATTTTTGCCAGACCAATAATAACAGTTTATTGGTATTATTAAATAAAAACAGCAGAAAATATTTTTCTGGTCACGTAATAACTAGGTATATCTATAAAAATAAAATATTGATGACATAAACGCTAATTTATTATTATAATCCTCGACGGTCGTCGGCCATTTTTAAAAACACGCACAAAATTCCTCAGGTAAGCTCTCGCACACTAAAAAAACTATTAAAATTCTAATCGCACCTCGTTTGAAAATCAACTCTAACTCGTGATTGGTAAAGAAGTTTTTCCTTTACAAATAACGTAGACGTCATAGACGACTTGTTTCTTTTGAAATTGAAACGTATTTTGCTCGTGTTACGGGTTACTTTTAAGTGATTGTGAGAGAAGATGTAAATCAGCTGATTTGAATGTGTGCGTGAGACATGCAGGCCCAACGTTCCACTTGACTGGTTTTAGCCTTAAAATACTTTTTTCTCTTTTTTTTTTCTTTTACCTTATGGTTTGTTTCACACACAGTATACGCTACAGTTAAATACGGTTTGTGGAATTTATGAGGTCGGATGTTAATTTTTAGCTATAAGTGCGTCAGATAAATATCTATCGAATGGCGAAATAATCATTTGAAATTCTGAATTCCCATCCATATTGATAAATTCACATAAATATTTGTGTGACGCTTCTAGGTTAAGTCCACTATGCTTACAAACGTCTTGTTAGCGAAGATACATTCGTGTAAAATAATTAAATCATAATATTGATTTTGATTAAATTATTTTATATAAGAATATAATTTTCTAGTGTTTATATTTTTATTCCCAGTACTTGTAGCTTCAAATAGATATAATATTTTACTTTATTACGAAAGATATTTAAAAAATCTTTTTACAATATAATTTATTATCTTTCGACACGACTAAAAAAGAATAGCCTATTAATTAATACTGATTCTAACAAATAATGTACATCATATTTTTCCCTCTGATTGACAGGATTTTGATTAGCCGTATAAAATCTTTTCTTTAATCCCACTTATTTATTATCATTTTTCAAAATGTTAAAGGTTGACTGATGCTAATAAATAAATACATAAAATCTTTTTGGATATCTAGCGAACATGATCACATAGGGCCCTTTAGAGTCTATGAGCGGGCATTATTCATTGATTCAGTCTTTGTACTGAAATTCTCATAAATATTATTCATAATAAAACTTTTTATAAAATTATTCTCAATACTTTTTTTCATTTTATGAGATAATTGTTTAATTGACTGAAATGAATTAATGGTTATTGATCTAGTTAATCTACAGAGCTAATTAAATCCTATCGATAAGTGAATACTTAGATGGTTAACCTTAATTCAAAACTTTATGATACTGGTTTGCTCGAGGTAGTTTTTACTTTTATTTTTTATTCGATATTATATAACTAGTACAAATGTACATATATGTTTTTATTTATGGAAGTATGTTCTTACATATATATTTTAACTAGATTATCTAATATCCAGTCAATGAAACCCTATCTGTATAACTGTATCTGTATAACAAATTTCATCAAAATCCGTTCAGTAATTTGGGTGTGATTGATGATCAAACATACAATCAAAAAAAACTTTCACATTTATAATATACTAGTGGCCGCCAGCGACTTCGTCCGCGTTTTCCATTATTTCTTCGCTCCCAATAGTTGCAGCGTGATGTTATATAGCCTAAAGCCTTCCTCGATAAATGGTCTATTCAACACAAAAATAATTTTTCAATTCGAACCAGTTCCTGAGATTAGCTCGTTCAAACAAACAAACAAACTCCTCAGCTTTATAATATTAGTATTGATATAGGAAAGGATGTAGTGTACCTAGTAAGAAGTGTAATATTAATGTCAGCTTTACAGATAGAAGTACGGTGATTTTGATTTAAAATACTTTACATTACACCATGCAAGGATCGTGGCTCTGAAGATCTTTTTGCTGCGAAACCTTTTTTTTTTTGCTTTCGGCTCTGACGGAGACCGACATTTTTGGTTCCCACCTACCTGTGACTAGTGTGACCACACAACTAAAAATTACAGTACTTATATTAACTTATGTTCTGATTACGTTTTATTTACTTTATATTTTATTTAGAATGTCAATGAAGCATGAATCAATTTGTAAGTGATTTCATATTGGCTCAAACTAAGTCTGCATTTCTTATGGTAACTGGCTGTTTTCCGGTGGCTTTGTCCGCATAAATGATAGTTTCACATAGATGAAAAAAAATCAGTTAAAAATCATAGCCTTGGAGAATAATCAATGCAGGTATAAAATCAAATCTTTCCTCTTTATATTATAGAAGAATAGGGTAAGTTTGTATGATTTTTTTAATAAAAAACATGAAACATTATTTATAGGCTACTAATAAAAATTAGTATGAGAAGACCTTTTTTCAGAGTTTGAGGAAATTTGCTTGAGGCGTTTGAGGCAACCCATAAGGATGGCTAGGGGATGAAATTTGGAGTCAAAAGTTTTATGGAACACCGTCACTTTTGATATTAGAGAAATTAGGAAATATCTCTTCCAGTGTGTGAAAGAGGCTTTGTGATGTCAGTCAATGAGAGCCATAATCAGTTGATGTCTGATCAATATTCGAAATCAATTAGTACCAAGAGAGTTATAGTGAATTTTTGTGAATCATGTTATTGATTTGTACACTTTATTGCTTGAAATAAATTAATAATTAATATTTTTAAAATAAAAAACAGTTTACATAGCACTATCTACGAAAGCTGGTGAGAGAAATAAAAGCGTTTTTTCTAAAAGTTTATATTATTTACTATATTAAAAAAAAATCTATAGAAAATAATATTAACGACAAAAATTATTTGTAGTTTTATGTCACTTTGAATACAAGCAAGCACTAATTTTTACACGAAATAGACATTTCTTTTATTATCGAATTGAATGTAACAGAGTATCATATTTAACCGTTCCAGATTTATATCAACTGAATGACGAAACCAGTTTAAATTAAAGACGAAACAGTAAAGTACCTGTTTAAAGTTAGTATCTTTAAACAGGTACTTTACTCAAAAATGTCAATTTGAAATTGTTAAATTACGTAATTACAAATATTAATGAATTTTTAATGAATAAAATACAAGTTTTACTACATTAGTAGCGCATTAAAA